TGAGATTTTTTCAAGGAATACCACTTTTTGTCACTTTCCAGAATGCCTTTTGGCTGATTCTAGCATACTACTGAATGATTTTGAAAAGAATAATTCCAAGGCCTTTCACAGAGAATGATGAGAGAGGAGTGTGCCAACCATGTTAAACAAAACAAAACAAAAACTTAAAGTGTCCTGTTGCATTGGATTTGTTGCTATTATACCAGTCCTGGTATAGAAAAAGGAAATTAAATTTAGAAACTGACAAACAATGTTCCAGGAAGTGCCATATTTTTAGACTAATAACATGGAAGTTATATACTTTTTTCCAACCATCCTTCTTTGCCCCAGGTATTTTCAAAAGCATGCTATGCTAATTTTTTCTCATGTTGCTATAAAAAATTAGCATAGTGCACTTACGAAAATACCTCACTAGGGGAGGGCACAGTTAGCAAAAAAAGCACATAACATGTTTGTTATTTGCATTAAAATGCTACAGTAGCTAAAGGGGGAAATGAACTGGTATAGAAATGTGTGTTGTTCGTGTTAGGTATCTGAGTACTAGTTCTGATTTTTGTACAACAGAAGGAAACACTGCCCAATTCTCTACCATCTTCACAAGCTTTGCTATGTTTGAGACTCCTGTTGCAGCCACTGTATCAATTCATCTCCTTGAGGATCTTCCTCTTATTCAGTATCTACTTAATCAAACATGATTTTATTCTCCACAAACTGATCTCACCTGGTAAATGTCCAAAGTATGTGAGATGAAATCTTGTCATCCTGACCATTCTGGTTATTCGTGTTCCAACACAAATTTTTCATTCTTCTGGAAATCTATTGCATATTAAATATTCTTCACTAAGACCATAATTAAAATTCATCAATTCATCTTCAGTCTTCCATATTCATTGTCCAGCTTTTGAATGCATATATGGTGATTGAAATGTCATGGCTTGGGTCAACTGCACCTCAGTCCTCAAAGTGACAGCTTTGTGTTTGAACGTTTCAAAAAGTCTTTTGTTGCAGATATGCCCAATATAGTAAGTATATTGTTGGCTATCTTGTCTGCAGCTCCCATGAACACTGATTGTGGACCAAGTGAAATGAAATCCTTGACCACTTCAATTTTTCTCAGTTTATCCTATTTCTTATTTGTGCAGTTGTGAGGACTTTCTTTTTCTTGAGGTATAATCCATACTGAATATTATAAGAGGTGATTTGGTTGTGTGTAGATCCTATATAGGGTTTCCAAGGCTATAAATCTTTTTGTGAGGTGAAAGCCTTCTCTTTCTCCTGTGGAACAAATGATAGATTCGAACTACTAACTTGTGGTTAGCAGCCCAGCTCGTAATTCACTACATTACCAGGTTTCCTTACTGTAGTCTTCGATTTTCCATTAAATACTTCAAGTCATCTTCACTTTCAGCAAGCAAGACTGTGTCATCTGCATATCTCAGGCTGTAAGTGTCCCTCCAATCTTGATACCATGTTCTTCATAAAGCCTAGCTTCTCGGGTAATTTGCTAAACATGTGGATTGGTGGAAAAGTATGTGAATAAGTATGGTAAAGGGGTACAACCCTGGTGCACACTTTTCCTGACTTTAAGCTATGCAGTATTCCCTTGCTTTATTTGAATCTGTGTACAAATTCCACATGAGCACAATTAATTGTTCTAGAATTCCCCTTCTTTGCAATGTTATAATGTGTTATGATACATTCAATTAAATGTTTTTACATAAACAGATAATAATAAACAGATAAATATCTTTCTAGTATTCTCTGCTTTCGGTCCAGATCCATCTGACTTCATCAATATATCCCTAGTTCCACATCCTCTTCTGAATCTGGCTTGAATTTCTGGTAGTTCTCTGCTGATGGGCTGCCACAATTGTTTTTTAATTATCCTCAATATAATTTTATTTGCATGTGATATCAATAATAGTATTCAATAATTTTTGCACTCTATTGGGTTATCATTCTTTGGAATGAGCACAACCATGGATGTTTTCCAGTCAGTTGACGGGGTAATTGTCTTCCAAATTCTTGGCATAGACATGTAAGCCCTTCTAGTGTTGCACGCATTTGTTAAAACATCAGTTGGTATTTTGACAATTCTTGAAACCCTGTTTTTCACCAATGCTTTCAGTGCAGCTTTGACTTTTCCCTACGACATCATCAGGGAAAAGTAGATCATATACTACCTTCTGAAATGATTTCAAATCAACCATTTTAATTTTCATCAACTTCAATTTGAACTTGCATATGAGCAATTAATGATCTGTTCTGCAGTCAGTCTTTGGCCTTGTTCTTGATGATTTTTAAGTTCTCCATTGTCTCTTTCTACAGTTGCAATCCACTTGATTCCTGTGTATTTTACCTGGTAAGGTCCATATATATGGTTGTTAAGTGTCATCAAGTCGATTTTGACTCTTAGTGACCCTATATAACAGAAATTCTCATCTTTCTCTTATGGAATGACTGGTGGGCTTGAACCACCAACTTTGTGATTCACTGTCCGGTGATTATCATACAAAGCCACTATACTCCCCAAGGTCCACATGTTTAGTTGCCCTTTATGTTGTTGGTGTTACAAAACTCTATCATTTGATATTAAGTGTCATTTCTATCACCAAGATCATGTTTTCCAATACTGATTTTGTTTGTTTCCATCTTTCATATTTCAATCACCAGTAATTATCAGAGCCCTGTTATTGCACTATAGGATAAGCAAGGGGCAGCTAACTGCAAGGTCAGAAGTTCAAACCCACTAGCTGCTCTCAGAAACCCTATACAAGGTCATTATGTCTCAGAACTGACTCGACAGCACACAATAATAACATGTTTAATTGCATGCTTGATCAATTCCAGACTGCAATAGTTGGTACAGGTCTTCAATTTCTTCATCTTGGTGCTAGTGGTTGGTGAGTAAATTTAGAAATATGTGTCACCAAATAACAATTTTGTCATATTGGTTTTCAAATATGATTAAAAACATTCCAGAAGTGTAAAAGATTTACCAGAAAAATAATTTTGTCTTGAAACATAATTCATAGATTCTGTATCACAGAAAATTGTTTCTAACTGGGCTACTCGGTTATAGCTTAAACGAAACCTACATTGATTGAAGACTCATGTCATTTTGAAGTTTATTACATAAATGTTCATTTTGAGTCTTTTAAAAATCTTGTCAATTTATTTCTTGGTAGTTAGGATATTAAAATATGCAAATACGCATGCAATAGTTGGTCAGTGCTAACCTTTTTGTAATAACTAATGTGTTCTCCCAACAGCTGCCACTCCTTCCATTCGCATCACCTTCACCCAAGAGACACAAAATGCTGAAGACAGTCACTTTTTACTTGATTAAATTTCTGGAGGTTGAAGCTAGGCCAAAATCTTCACCTCCCTCTTTCCTAAATACTTTTTCTCCTCTCTCCTAATTACATTGCTTTACACTGATTTACATGAATTTCAGCTTTCAAAATCATCGGTCTCTGCGAAATGCAAATAGGCACATATGAAAATTATATTAAGTTTGCACAATTGATCTTTCATCATTTGAAATGGTACCTTTGAACAGTTCCTGAAACGTCTGTCTGAAATACTCCCAGCGCTGAGTGTCATCAAGAGACACAGGGTCACCCTGGGGAAACCCATTCTCAGTGATGTAAATTACAGGATTATTATACGTATCCTAGAACAAGAGAGCAGAAGTTTTATTCCAAACAGATGTAAAGAAAAAAAAAGAACTCATAAAATCAGGTGCATTACCCTCTATCTTCTTTCAGCTACAACCCCAAACTAGTTTTCATCAAATTGCACTGACCCTGTTAACTTAATTTTCCATGCACTGACCTTTTATGACTAACAATGGAGAAGCAAAACTGTGCAAATGTCCATAAAGACAGTCAAATGACTCTTATTATAATAAGAACACAGAAATTTCTTTCTTCCATCAGCATCTGCTGATTGTCACTGCTCCTTAACCCCTTGGTACATTCTCTATCCCCTGACAGGAGGAATCCTGACAACCGAATACTTAAAGTTTTAATTGCAGCTGCCTGGACGTCATCCAGCATAACTGAGATGAAAAAGGATCCAGCCATCCCAACACTTATATGTCTTATAATCATCATAGTTATGACCTTAGTCTGAAAAGTGCTTCTGAGCTAATGGCCACAACTGATTTTAACCACAAATCCTCATTTCTGAAAATTAATCTTAAAGCCCTTTTTCTAGATATGCTAGTGGTACAAACAATCGACACCCTCAACTGTTAATTAAAAGGTTGGAGGTTTGGAACCACCCAGAGATATCTTGGAAGAAAGACTTGGTGATCTACCTCTGAAAAACGAGCCATTGAAAACCATGTGGAGCACAGTTTGACCCTGAAACACATGGGGACATGATGAACTGGAATCAACTCAGTGACTACTGGTTTGGATTTTTTTTTTCCTTTTATTAGCTAGTTAGCCCTCAACAACTATCACTCAAATTCTAATTTGCTCTTCCTAGGCATATGACACCCTAAAATCAGTCTTGTTTCAGATCCATACAGACATACATAAACCTGCCTTCCCACTTTCACAGATACGAGTGTACATAGATAAAAACAAATGTGCATTTACCATAATATATTTCAGTAATTTGCGTATCCCCCATGGCACCACGCAGACCCAATCTATAGATTGCCAAGATGGATCTGGAAGAATTTCAATTTCCACATCCTGGAGAGCCCCCAATTCTCCTGTCTTGTTCTCCTTGTACTTGACTAAGCGAGTCGTATAATACTGCACAGCAAAGAAATCAGCGGTGCCTTTGATCATTCTCTTCTCTTCTTCTGTAAATTCTGGAAGCCTTGATGATGGATAGCCTTGTTTTTTACTCATGGAGGCAACTTGGGACTTGACAACTTCAGGATAATCACCGTCAATAAATAAGGGTTTAGCAAAGAAATCTAAGCAGAAGGCGATGGCTCTTTGAGCAGCTTCCTGATCAGTCACTGAGTCAGGATCTGCTGGTTCCACCCACGGAGAAAATAATGAAAATGACACCACACCCTTCTGCTCTTTTCGGAATAAGGAATCATAGCTGTGCCAGGATCGGGCATGTGCCTTTATCAGATTATGAGCTGCCTGATAACCCCCAGTCCCTAAGTGAGGCACACCTGGAGGAAATACACCAAGCTCATATGCTAACAGAGCAAAAATGTTGGGCTCATTTATGGTGATCCACTGTCTGACGCGATCTCCAAAGGTACTGAAGCAAAACTGGGCATATTTGTCAAAGGATTCAATGATTTCTTCTGACAGCCAACCTCCTTGATCTTCTAAAGCCTGAGGCAAATCAAAGTGGTAAAGAGTTACTATGGGAGTAACTCCGTTGAACAACAAGTCGTCGATGATTTTGTTGTAATAGTCAATGCCTGGGAGGAAAAAGAAAAGTTATTTTTAGTACACTGGAAATACATTTTAAAGAAGACAGAATCAGGAATTATTTCCTAAGTGATGTTAATTCAAAATAAGTTTTTTGGGGGTCAAATGTTACTTCCTAGATAACAATGTATTCCATTGGTAAATTCTGCTACAAAAGACCTCTTTGAAGTATTAAAAAGCAAAGACGTCTCTTTAAGGACTAAGATGTGCCTAACCGAAGCCAGAAGAAGCCCAAGTGATGTAGTGGGTTATGCATTCAGCTACTAACCACAAGGTCAGCAGTTCAAATCTACCTGCAGGTCCATGGGAAAAAGATGAGTGAGGCTTTCTGCTCCCATAAAGATTTACATTTTCAGAAATCCTATACAGAGTTGCTATAAGTTGGAACCAACTTGAGAGATACAACAACCACCCAAGTCATAATTGTCAATACCCAGGTGCATTTGAAAGTCCTCAAATGAAAAAAGGAAGATTGAAGAATAAATAAACAATTGAATTAAGGTAATGCCACAGGTTTTGCAAAACAAACAAATCTGTCTTGGAGAAAATACAGCCAGAATACACCTTATAAGCAAGGATAATGAGACTTCATCTTCCTTACTTTGGACACATTATTAGAAAAGACAAATCAATAGAAAATAACATCATATTTTGGAAAGTAGAAGATCCGGCAAAATGAGAGAAGTCTTTCAATGAGATTGTTGTTGTTGTTAGGTTCCCTCGAGTTGGTACCAACTTATAGCAACATTATGCACAACAGAATGAAACACTGCCTGGTCCTGTGCCAACCTCACAATCATTGCTATATGTGAGCCAATTGCTGTTGCCACTGGGCCAAACCATCTCATTGAGTGTCAGGGACTGTCCTCGACATAGTTGTGTTTGGTTCACGAGGAGGGGAGATCCAGCGGCGATAGAGATAGCAAAAGAATACATAGAAAGACAAAAGGAGGGGGACAAAGAGGTACCCCGAAACCAGGGTGGATGCATCACTGGTGGGCAGACTTGGGACTACAGGCATCATGACCTCTGCAGGCAGCAACTCACTGCCCTGCAATCTTTACTGCATGCCCTCCAACTTGCAATGCACACCTGCACTGGCCTGCGTCTCGGTTTTATTTAGGGGAGGAGCTTCACAGCAAGCTGGGAGGGACTAAGACAAGGTACAGCTAACATCAGTAATTTTCCAGACATTCAGGTAACTTTACATCGTACTTCACTGGTTCGAATCCCAGGCCCGCAACTTGGTTTCTCAGGCTCAATTAACATATCTATAGCCCCTGAGCTCAGTTGAGAGAAGGTGAAAGGGAAAGACAAAAGGCCTGGGTGGAGTCCCCTGTTTTGGCTTCCTGAAGCCAGATTTGCAGGAAGATGCAAGACGCCCAGGTGAATGGGCTGCACCTGGAAAAGGATTAGGGAGGATGGCTTTTTTGTCTATAGAACAAAGAACTGGGAAGTAGCTAAGCTATTTTCAGTTAATCTTTTGGAGAAAGGTTTAACCTTACATTTATCTGTGGACATTAAAGGCTCATGTTTGGAATTAAATAAAAAACATAACTGAACACGAAGATGAAAAACAATTTGTTATGACTGCCAGTGGCCAGAATTTTTTCCTCAGAGCCTGCAGCCTGTATAGTCGACACGGTCTGCAACAATTGAGGGTCTTCATTTTTCTCACTGATCTTCCATTTTACTAAGCATGATATCCTTCTCCAGAGACAGGAATCTCTAGATAATATGCCCAAAGTATGAAAGACAAAAACCATTCGTCTGTAAGTTTGTCATACTGTGGTGACTTGCATATTATTGTGATTATAAAGCTATGCCACAGTCAGATCACACACTGCGAACAGGTCTCTGCTGAGCTTCCAAATGAAGACAGGTTAGGAAGAAGTAGACAGACAACTTCCGAACATTTAGTCACTGAAAACCTTATGAATAGCAGAGAAATCTTTCTCAAGCTTAAAAAAATGAAGAAAAAATTCAAGCCTCCACTTAAAATACTGAAGGATTGGTTCTATGGGCAAAACATTGAATGATGCAGAAAGCATCAATAGAAGATGGAAAGAATACACAGAGTCACTGTAACAAAAAGAAATGGATGATGTTCAACCATCTCAATAGCTAACATATGATCAAAAACCAATGATACTGAAGGAAGAGATCCAAGGTGCATTGAAGTCACCGGCAAAGAACAAGGCACCGGGAAGAGATGGAATACAAATTGAACTCTTTCAACAAAGTGAGGCAGCACTGGAGGCACTCACTCATCTATGCCAAGAAATTTGCAAGACAACTACTTGACCAACTGACTAAAAGAGATCCATATTTGTGCCCATAACAAAGAGAAGTGACACAATGGAATGTGGAAACTTTTGAGCAATGTCATTATTATCACATACAAGTAAAATTTTGCTAAATATGATTCAAAACCAGCTGCAACTATACATTGACAGTGAAAGGCCATAGGTTCAAGCCGGATTTAGAAGAGGATGTGGAACGAGGGATATCATCGATGATGTCAGATGGACCTCGGCTAAAAACAGAGAATACTAGAAAGATGTTTATTGTTGTTGTTATGTGTCATGGAGTCAGTTCGGACTCATAGTGACCCTATACAGGGTTTCCAAGGCTGTAAATCTTTACAGGAGCAGAGAGCCTCATTTTTCTCCCATGGAACAGCTGGTAGTTTCGAACTGCTGACCGTGAAATTAGCAGCCTGATGAGTAACCAGAGCTCCTTAGAAATATGTTTACCTTTGCTTTATTGACTATGCAAAGCTTTCAACTGTGTGGATCATGACAAGCTATGGACAGCATTGTGGAGAATGAGTATTCCCAAACGCTTAATTGTGTTCGTGAGGAACCTGTACATAGAACAAGAGATAGAATAGAACAAGGGAACAATGTATAGTTGCAGCTGTTTTGCATTATCTTTAGCAAAATTTTACTTGCATGCAATATTAATGTTAGTGTAAGATGATTTGCACATTCTGTTGGGTCACCTCTCTTAAGAATGGGCATAAATATGAATCTTTTCTATTCAGTTGGCCCAGTAGTTGTCTTCCAAATTTCTTGGCATAGATGAGTGTGTGCCTCAAGTGATGCATCAACTGGTTGAAAGATTTCAATTTGTATTCCATATATTCCTGGTGCCTTCTTCTTTGCCAATGACTCCAATGCACCTTGTATCTCCTCCAAGAGATCCTTGATCATATGTTAGCTCTTGAAATGTTTGAACATCGTCCATTTCTTTTTGTTACAGTGATTCTGTGTATTCCTTCCATCTTCTTTTGGTGCTCTCTGCATCATTCAATATTTTGCCCATGTTGTTGTTGTTGTTGTGAAGGACTGCTGAGTCAGTTCCAACCAATAGTGACACTGTATAGGGTTTCTGAGAAGCAGCTAGTGAGTTAGAACTGCCAACCTTGCAGTTCAAACAGCTTTGCAGTCTGGTGCATTAACCCACATCACCACACCAGGACTCCTATTTTGCCCATTGCTGTTGTTGTTAAGTACCTTCGAGTTGGTTCCGACCCATAGCGATGCTGTATATATTGCATTTTCCCATAGAACCCTTCAATACTGCAAGTCAAAGCTTGAATTTTTTTTTTTTTTCAGTGTCCTCAGCTTGAGAAATGCTGAGTGTCTTCTTCCTGTTTGGTTTTCTAACTCCAGGTCTTTGCACATTTCATTACAATATTTGACTTTGTCTTCTCGAACTGACCTTTGAAACTTTCTTTTCAGGTCTTTTGTCTCTTCATTTCTTCCATTTGCTTTAGCATCTCTACACTAAAGAGCAAGTTTTAGAGTCTCTTCTGACATCTTTTTATTCTTTTTATTCTTTCTTGTCTTCTTAATGACCTTTTGCTTTCCTCCTGTGTGATGCTCTTGATGTCATCTACAACTTGTCTGGTCTTGCTCTTTAGTGTTTAATGCATCAAATCTGTTCTTGTGATGATCTCTAAATTGAGGCAAGATATGCTCAAGGTCACATTTTGGCTCTTGTGTAATTGTTTTCATTTTCTTCAGCTTCAGCCTGAACTTGCATAAAAGTTCAGGCTATTGTTCAATAGTCTTCCCCTGGCCTTGTTTTGGCTGTTGATATAGAGTTTATCCACTGTCTCTTTCCACAGATGTAGTCAATTTGATTTCTGTGTATTCCTGTGGTGAGTTCCCTGTATATAGTCATCTTTTATGTTGTTCAAAAAAGGTATTTGCAATGAAGAATTCACTGGTATTACAAAATTCTATTAAGCAAGCTATTGCATCATTTCTCTTTCCAATGCCATATTTTCCAATGATTGATCTTTCTCCTTTGCTTCCAATCTTTGCATTCCAACTGTCAGTAAATATCAATGCATGTTGATTGCATACTTGATCACTTTCTGACTGAAGTAATTGGTAGAATTATTAAATTTCATCATCACTGGCTTTTCCCTGAGATGGATTGACACAATGGCCTCAAACCATGGCTTTGAGTTAAGTCCATTTCTGTTAGACCCTTTGCTGAAAATTTTCATTACCACCCCAGATTTACTCAGAATCTATGAGTATATCTGAGTATACATAAGATCTTGTTAAAATGTCATTTCTGATTCACTATATCTATGGTGAAAATGCAAATTCTCAGCAGGAGGTCAAACAGGAATGTACTGGTTCAATGTCCTGATTCAAATATGCCAAGATTGTAAAGCTAGCACAGAAGCAAGAAATGGTTCATTCTGTAATGCGTAAAGTCACCAGAAGTCAGCACCAACTTGAGGGCTACAGACAATCACAGTTATGATTAATCAAAATCTGGGAAGAAACATAAAGAATTCCAAAGAATACTGGTTAGGGAGTGAGATCATGATGGAGTGACATAATTGGAAGACATTTTGTTATGAAATTGTTGTTTTAAGGTATACATAATTGTGTGTTATTTTAACAAATATTGAAATCACTATATTTGCTTGCCCACTTGTTTTTGTCTCTTAGCCCTTCAAGAA